GAAGAAACAGTGGCCATTCAACATGTAGAATCGTCGGGAAATTAACAGAAAAAGACAGCAGAGGTTCTGCGGTCAATAGGACGGACACCCGCTGCTTTTAATTGTTGGTCTGCACGGTCCGTTTGGACTTTCACTGGAATGCATGTTATACAAGCCTGTGCATCCAAGGACAAAGCTTGGATTCACCACAGGTGACTGACTGCAGGTTCAGCCAGAGACAGCAGCACTAAGTAGGCATGCAGCCTGGTACCACAGATTAGCCTACTTCTTTAACACGTTAGAAAAAAGTTGATATTTTAAAAGCCTGTATTTAAAATCTGCATCTAAAATCTGCTGTCTGGCATTTAGATAGATGTTGATGCAACCTCCGTACACTGCGACAGATAGACAGCGTTTAAATGTTTTCACCACCTCCACATCTCTCTAGAGTAGATAAGGTCATCCACCTGGTCCATCACTCTTTAAAACAGGCGGCTACAGTTACCTGCTGCATCCCAAATGGCACCCTATTCCCATTTCCCTACATAGTGCACTACTTTTGACCAGAACCCTATCGATCCTGGTCAAAAGTAGTGCACTATGTAGGGAAAAGGGTGCCATTTGGGATGCAGACATTCACTTTGTCTCCATTAATCACTCAGGTACCACTAGAGGTGAGATGGAAGACATGTTCCTTTCGATTTACTCTCACTCATATTAGAGCCTGAGACAAAACAAGCCCCCTCACTAAGAGGGAATCCCATCCATCTAGCAGCCCTTACATAATACAGGGCCGTATTCATAAGTGCATGCTGTAGCAAAATATATTCCAACGGAAAGCTAAAATACGTGTTTCTTATTGGACTGGTAGTTCAAGTAGTCCCTCCGTTTGTCAGTTTTCTTCTGTTTTGGTGGCTAATGAATGCGACCCAGGAGATGAAGATTAGATTCGACAGAGTCATCACCATCCTACAGTCTCTCTCTCTTTGCAGAACTCTACAGAACAATCTTCAGGCACAGGTAATAGCTATGCTGCTGCTAAAATGCTAATTCTACACAGCGGACACAAAATATCAAAACGCTGCAATTAATTGTCTATATAGAATCATCTCAGAGGAGAAATGCCCATTTCCTGTGTGGAGTGAGCATTGTTCTGGGCTGTGCTAATGTATGTGCAGGTGGCGGGGGGGAGGGCAGGGTGTAGAGCGGAGTGAGGGAGGGTCTCGTAGTGTGCGTGAGAAGGAAATGGGGGGGGGGGTTGAGCTGAGGGAGGAGGGGGAAGTCAGGCCCAGGCTGAGAGCAGTGAGTCAGGCCCACAGCCAGCCAGATACTAATGAATAAAGGAAAACACACACCACAGGCTTAGTAGCCTGGACGGCCTGGCCCTGCATCGCTAACAGTTCTGCCAGAGTACAGCAGCTATAACAGTCAGCCTAGCCAGCCCCACAGCACTGGGATTTGCATCTGGCTAAAACTTTAGAGAGCTTCTGCTGCTGCTTGGGGTTTGGCTTCTGAGGGCTTCCGGTGGTGTAGCACTCCTCTCTCACATGGGCTTGGAAAAAACAGATTAAAAAGGACTATCTGCCCTGTGGTTACGATCTGCCCTGTGGTTACGATCTGCCCTGTGGTTACGATCTGCCCTGTGGTTACGATCTGCCCTGTGGTTACGATCTGCCCTGTGGTTACGATCTGCCCTGTGGTTACGCCGCACTCACTCCATTAGGTTCAGCTAAATAGCTATTTATGCAGTCTGGGTGTTAGTGCATTCACACTCTCCTATCTGCCTCTAACCACGGCCAGATGGAACGCTTGAGAAGGTATACAGTAACGTTATGGTTCAGTGGATGACACCTTAGGCATGTGGGGTTTGACTTCTGCAGACATTTGCAGCATGTGGTCCACTGAACACCTCCCATGTTTACAATAGTAGTTAATACTGTAATATTTTTACAGCAAAAAAATTATTGAACCATAGTTGAATTGTCCACTGAAGAATTTGAGTGGTAATTGCAATGGATATCTTCTAATTTCTACAGCAAGAAGCAAGAATGATTTAACAATGGTTGCATTGTCTGTTCATTGAAGAATTCCACCCCATTAACTAAGCTACAGCAGATACGTCCCCATCTCTAGGAGATGTCCCAGTTGGTCGCTACAGGTGTAGACACTAGACAGCGGCCCTGATAGGGCTGTAGTGTAGTGTCAGTCCTGTGCTCTGCTGTGCTGCCCCCACCTGGGTTTACACGCTGACACTGTGGCTGGGGGGGTAGGGCTCAGCTTAGCTAGCTTTACTAGCATGTGTGTGATTGATGTGACAAAGCTTTGTGTGTGTGTCCCTGTTTGTTCCAGCCAAACACAAAACAATTTTATATTTACATTTTTGTCATTTAGCAGACGCTCTTATCCAGAGCGACTTACTTTAGTGCATTCATCTTAAGATAGCTAGGTGAGACAACATATCACAATTGTAGCAAGTACATTTTCCCTCAACAAAGTAGTTATGAGCAAAGTCAGTGGTAGGAAAGGGGGGGGTAATCGCCATGGGATTTATTTAAGATATTCTTTAAAAAGAGGTAGGGTTTCAGACGTTTTCAGAAGATGGGCGGGGACTCCGCTGTCCTGACATTAGGGGGAAGCTTGTTCCATAACCTTCCCAGCATCACTACAAAGTGCACACACCTCACCCCCCCACATATACAAACACAGTGCAGTTCCGATGTGACCTTTCTTTAATAGTCTTAAGTGTGCCAGCGTTGCTATGGTAGATAGTGGGAGCAGAAACCTGACTAACCAAATCACACATGAAAAGGGCATCAGTCTTTTCATCCTGTGTGCAGCGTCTCTCAAACAGACACAGCAGCAGAGATGGAGGGTGGTCTAGAAATGCTCCCTCATTCTCTACCATCTAATGAGTGACTCCCTCGTCACTCTGCCTTAGTCCCACAACTAAAATCACCCTCACCCCCCTTTTCACCCCCCAGCACACACAGCTCTCTCAGGCTCACAGCCTCACACACACAAACCCACTGCACTGCAGCTCCACAAGCGAGTGTGACAGAGTTTGTCAAGCGATTAGTGTTGGTCACATCTTGCCAGAAAGGCAGGATTTATGTGGGCAAAGCGAGGAGAATCAGACTGCCGCTTGCTATGCAAATCCACAGCACTTCTCTGCTTCTCCTTCCATAGTACTACTGCACTGGGCTGGGCCCGCCATGGGATGGAATGGGATGGAAGGCAGACTTCTATTTGAGAGCTTGACATGGTTTTATGTCCGATGTGCCCTCTTTTCTCCAGTGTCCCCCAGACAACCACTGGAGACCCAGACAACCACTGGAGACCCAGACAACCACTGGAGACCCAGACAACCACTGGAGACCCAGACAACCACTGGAGACCCAGACAACCACTGGAGACCCAGACAACCACTGGAGACCCAGACAACCACTGGAGACCCAGACAACCACTGGAGACAGACTAAACCAGTTACAAGGACTAGACTGTCTGGACCAAGAGAGGAAAGTGAGAGCTAGGGGGAGAGAATAACAGCACTATACGAAGTTACAGCTGGGTTACGATCACGTATAGGCTAATCATAATTATTTATAATTTAAACCTAAATTCTGACTATGCTTCTCTAATCTCCGGATTCCTCACACAATGATCAAATATATTGTCAGCAGACATGGCTAAGTTGCATCTCTTCCATCAACACAATATCACGTCTCTGCTAGTCTGTCTGTGGTCAGTGCAGCAGGTAGGTAGCTACTAGGTCACCTCTGGAAGCGCTGACAGTGACCTTGTTTTCTCATCAAACTGCTGCTTGAGTTTTTAAAAATGCTGCTGATAATTGTCGATATAGATAACTACGTTTATTAGACAGATGCCATCCAACACTGCTGCTCTCATATGATGCTATAGTATTGATGCTCTAGTAAAGTATTGGTATGAGTCATTAACCATGGCAACCATGAACAAAAACATAAAAGAATTGCTAGTTACATATCGGGATATTATTTTTGACGATAAAACACATTGACAATATCGCAGTATAATTTTGCCGATAGTTCACTGTACCTGCACAAAAACAGCTTTTTTCCATAGCTTGTTCTCCATCTTTTTAAATAGGAAACAATTTGTTTTGATGACTGATCACAACTTGTTTCCCCTCTGCAGCAGACATATGGAGAGCAATATGTTTGGAACATCGAATCGCAATACATATAGAATCGTGAGAATCACAATACATATGGTATCGGCACCTAGGTATCGTGATAATATCGTATCGTGAGGTCCCTGGCAATTCCCAGCCCTAATGTCAATATGAAACCCTTACATTGTTCATCCTACATCAGAAAACATGCTGTACAACCTAGCTACACGACTCAAAGAAGATTAACTGCATTCTTTTTCTCCAGGAAAATGGGCTTGCAGCAGTATGCCCAGATGTGTTTTAAGGAGACATTGGGTTGAGGCAATGGCCAGGACATCCTTGAAACAGCAGGCTCCTGTAAGCTGCCGAGCCTGAGCTGACTATGCCGTGTCTTCTCACAGCCACGGTGTGACAGACAGTGGTCTCTACTCTTCTGTTGTTAATGGGCCTCCCTGGCAGAGCTCCAACTCTCCCTGCTCTCAGTCCCAAACCAATCAATTATTTTATGCTGCGCCCTCAAAACAAGGCTCCATCTGTGTAGCTTCCAGGAGAGGGTGACCACAACTAATCTGTGTGCACCTTTTACACAGCCCCTGAAAACAAGCTGTCTAAAGAAAACACAGTGTCTGTTCTGTGGTCTCTCTCTACAGAGGAAGGGATGGAAGGAGAGGGGGAGAGGGAGAGGAGGCAATTCAACCAAAAGGAGAAATATATTGGTTGACATTAAATCGGCTGATATATTGGGCATGTTTTTTTAAATTTCATATCGGTCTTTATACCACCGATATTGACAAATGATAAACAAAAAATCATGCTAATCTGAGCACTTCAGTTCATTTAATATTTGTTTTTCAAATGTAAGAAATGACATTCAAAAGCATCTTTGAAGGGCCGTTTTTCATTTGGAGCTAAATCTGTACAGAAAACTGACTTTTCATATCACATCTGAAATACAATGCATCGGCCGATGAATTGGAACAGGTATAGTGTATTTTGCCTCCCAAAAATAAGTATTGTATCGGATATCCAATATCTGTCAGGTGCTACTTACATTGTAGGTCTCCAGCTTGACTCTGTTGCGGAAAACAAAGGTGTGGAAGTTGGCCTGCTGAAAGATCTCCTCGAAGGCAGCTTCATTCTGCATGAAAATTTACAAAATGGGATCAATTTAACTTTAATGACAAATTTGCTAGTTTCCATTAAAAAGCCATTGATTAAATCAAGATGGCTGGTTCTAAATTAAAGCAGTTTTCCATCTAATTAAAATGAAAAAATATAATGTAGTGCAAAAAAACGGAAATAATCACAAGTGATTTTTAAAATAGAAGTCCTTGGGTTATAGAGGCTGTGTGAGGGCCTACAGAGACCACACGGCACAGCAGCCTGTTCAGGCAGAGCAGTAGCTGGTGCTGGTGGCTGGCAGGGCCAGGCTAGACACTGCCTGGGGCTCAGCACCTCCCCAGGCTCTTTCCTCAGGCCAGGCTTTGAACCAGACAGGCAGGCAGGCAGAGAGGGTGACAGGGAGGCAGGCAAGCAGGCAGAGAGGGTGACAGGGAGGCAAGCAGGCAGAGAGGGTGACAGGGAGGCAAGCAGGCAGAGAGGGTGAAAGGGAGGCAAGCAGGCAGAGAGGGTGACAGGGAGGCAAGCAGGCAGGCAGGCAGGCAGAGGGTGCCAGGCAGATAGGGTGACAGGGAGTAAGGGAGGGAGACAGGGAGTAAGGGAGGGAGACAGGGAGTAAGGCTCACCGAGTCCTTGAGCTGCCCTAGGTAAGCAGCGTTCTGTCCCAGGATGGCTTCAGCACTCTCCTGGAAGCAGGTCACCCACTGGTTGTCCCCGTAGTCTGCTATGTTGGCCTGCAGGACGAGAGGAGGAACAGAGAGACAGACACATGGCAGGAGTGAGTACTGGGGAATGTCAAAGGGAGAGGGAAAGGTCATCTGGGCTTTGTTGATCATAGGTTGCAACACAAATGGCACCTTATTCCCTTTATAGTGCAATACTTTTGACCAGAGTGCAATAGCCCCCTGTAGCCAGTATAAAAATGTATGCACTCACTAACTGTAAGTCGCTCTGGATAAGAGTATCTGCTAAATGACTAAAATGTAAACATGTAAAAAGTGCACTACATAGGGAATAGGGTGCCATTTGGAACGCAACCAGTATAAAAAATGTATGCGTCTCAGGGATTTGATAATTTGGTTTATTATTGTATGATGTCACGTTGCTGCTGAATATTCAATGTATTGCCGATTGCACAAGTTTATACTCCTGGGAAAATCATTATTATAGAACTCTCCTGTTCTATACATTTGGCACCAGCAGAGCCAAGGTGTACGTGTGCGAGCTGCGCGCAGTGGTAGCATATTCACAGCTTATGTTCCAGTTCTGTGAAGAAAATCAATATGCTGACTGGCGAGAGGTGCAAAACAAAAGAAAAGCAGCTTATTTTAGATATTTGGCTGCAAGAGCTCGCTTGCTGACTAAATGAGGTAGTATTTTAATGCTGCTATTTTTAACAAGCAGAGACAAAATGCCTCAGCATTGAGCAACAGCATTGAGGGGAAAATAGAGCAATTAACTCAACATAATCCTGACTTACACCCAACAAAACAAACTAAATTAATCCTAATGAGCCAGCCACTATTTGACGATTGCAGCAGCGAGAGCAGAATGGGCTTAAATAATAATCTTCTTTAAACATGACTGTAAAGAGAGCCGATGGGGAGAGTTAAGGACCGTGAGAGAAGTACCATAGGGGGAGACTCGCTGGAGGCCTGGGAGAAGAGGGGGAAAACTGTGCCCAGAAGGCAGGAGAGAAAGAAAGGAGAGAAAGAGCAAAAGAAAGAAAGGTAGGTGAAGAGCAAGAGTGAAAGGAGGGAGGGAGAAAGACAAAGTGAAAGTGTGCGTGCCAGAGAGAGAGCGAGAGAGGCAGAGTAATGAGAGAGAGTAGATAAGTCCCCCAGAGGAAGACCACCCCCCCCCCCAGCCACAGCAGTGGTCACAGCCCCACCCACAGGGTCCTGTGAGGATAAGAGAGAATGAATAGAGGCCTTGGGGACGGGGTCAGGAGAGGGCAGGTACCCTGTCACAGTGAGGGTGAATGGGGTTGCAGAGTGGGACGCAGTGTGTGCATTCCTGCGTGTGCGCTTGTGTGTGGGTCCTCTGTGACCGTGCGTACCGAATCCAGCCAGAAAGCCAGAGGGTTTAGACAGAGAGAGAGCTGAGCCACTCACAGAGAGGATGAGTCGGTACTTGAAGTTGGGGAACTCTTTGTCACACTTCTCACAGCGGAACATGCCGTTCTGCTGGTCCACCACCTTCTTATTGCAGTCCTGACTAGGGCACGCCTGGTACAGACAGTTCTCCTTACGGATGTACACTATGGTGGCGATGCAGCTGAAGTAGTCTGCCTGGAGGGGGACACACACACAGACAACATTACTGAGTATACTTTTGTCAAGTGTTTTGAAAAGCACTGTTTTGTGGAAGGCCATATTCTATATGCCATATATGCAGCTGAAGTAGTCTGCCTGGACACAAAGAAACAACACATACATTTGAAGTCGGAAGTTTACATACACCTTAGCCAAATACATTTAAACTCAGTTTCTCACAATTCCTGACATTTAATCCTAGTAAAAATTCCCTGTTTTAGGTCAGTTAGGATCACCACTTTATTTTAAGAATGTGAAATGTCAGAATAATAGTAGAGAGAATGATTTATTTAAGCTTTTATTTCTTTCATCACATTCCCAGTGAGTCAGAAGTTTACATACACTCAATTAGTATTTGGTAGCATTGCCTTTAAATTGTTTAACTTGGGTCAAACGTTTCGGGTAGCCTTCCACAAGTTTCCCACAATAAGTTGGGTGAATTTTGGCCCATTCCTCCTGACAGAGCTGGTGTAACTGAGTCAGGTTTGTAGGCCTCCTTGCTCGCACACGCCTTTTCAGTTCTGCCCACACATTTTCTATAGGATTGAGGTCAGGGCTTTGTGATGGCCACTCCAATACCTTGACTTTGTTGTCCTTAAGCCATTTTGCCACAACTTTGGAAGTATGCTTGGGGTCATTGTCCATTTGGAAGACACATTTGCGACCAAGCTTTAACTTCCTGACTGATGTCTTGAGATGTTGCTTCAATATAAATCCACATGATTTTCCTTCCTCATGATGCCATCTATTTTGTGAAGTGCACCAGTCCCTCCCACAGCATGATGCTGCCACCCCCGTGCTTCACGGTTGGGATGGTGTTCTTCGGCTTGCAAGCCACCCCCTTTTTCCTCCAAACAGAACGATGGTCATTATGGCCAAACAGTTATATTTTTGTTTCATCAGACCAGAGGACATTTCTCCAAAAAGTACGATCTTTGTCCCCATGTGCAGTTGCAAACCGTAGTCTGGCTTTTTTATTGCGGTTTTGGAGCAGTGGCTTCTTCCTTGCTGAGCGGCCTTTCAGGTTATGTCAATATAGGACTCGTTTTACTGTGGATATAGATACTTTTGTACCGGTTACCTCCAGCATCTTCACAAGGTCCTTTGCTGTTGTTCTGGGATTGATTTGCACTTTTCGCACCAAAGTACGTTCATCTCTAGGAGACAGAACGTGGCTCCTTCCTGAGCAGTATGACGGCTGCGTGGTCCCATGGTGTTTATACTTGCGTACTATTGTTTATACTTGCGTACTATTGTTTGTACAGATGAACGTGGTACCTTCAAGCGTTTGGAAATTGCTCCCAAGGATGAACCAGACTTGTAGAGGTCTACAATTTTCTTTCTGAGGTCTTGGCTGATTTATTTTGATTTTCCCCATGATGTCAAGCAAAGAGGCACTGAGTTTGAAGGTAGGCCTTGAAATACATCCACAGGTACACCTCCAATTGACTCAAATGATGTAAATTAGCCTATCAGCAGCTTCTAAAGCCATGACATCATTTTCTGGAATTTTCCAAGCTGTTTAAAGACACAGTCAACTTAGTGTATGTAAACTTCTGACCCACTGGAATTGTGATACAGTGAATTATAAGTGAAATAATCTGACTGTAAACAATTGTTGGAAAAATTACTTGTGTCATGCACAAAGTAGATGTCCTAACTGACTTGCCAAAACTATAGTTTGTTAACAAGAAATTTGTGGAGTGGTTGAAAAACAAGTTAATGACTCCAACCTAAGTGTATGTAAACTTCTGACTTCAACTGTACATTACTGAGCATACTTCTTAGTCGTTTTAAAATGTGTACACTTCAGATGTTTTGTGGAAGACCATATTGCTATACATGCAGCTGAAGGAGTCCGCCCAGACACAAACAGACAAACGCACAACATTACTGAGAATTATTCTATCAATCGTTTTGAAATATAGTTGTTTTGTGGCAGGCCATATTGTAATGTGTCATATGTGCAGGCTTGGTCCATGATTTCTACATAAGGTTGATGACATTACACGGCACAGAACTAACAACTGATAAGCATAAAGAACAGATCTGAGAGGACGTCAAGTAGAATATTCAAACTCTAATAAAGAGAAACATTACTGCAGTGGGATGCAAAAAAATACAATCCAACGGCAATCTGCATAGCATAGCTCCAAACACAAATACAAAACAGCAAATGCAGGCAGACTTCTTTTTTATGGGGGTATATGCAAAGTTTATAACCTCCATATACATAAACAGCCTTTTAGAATAATTCCTAGCCTGTCGGAGAACAGCAAGTGCCTGGTGAGAATTTCCCAGCACTGAGTCCTGAAATAAATAAATTGGTACAGATACAGAAAGGGCTGTGGGAGTGAGCAACATGATGAACTGTCAACGGGGTTGGAGATGAGTCACGTCGCCTTTCATTCTGTCGACACACATTGTAGAGTTCCCTTTCTCTTTCTGTACCCCCACCCACCACTTCATACGCCTTTCTGACACAGACAGGTCAGAGTCACAGTCACGGCTCAACTGATCATTGTTTTAGAATCTCTCCCCCCTCTATGTGTCAGTCCCCCTCCTACTGCTCCTCACCACCCTGCATGTGGCCATTGGGACAGAGAGGTGACAGTGAGGTGAGAACAGGGTCATGTTGAAGGGGAGTGAGAGGAGCAGACACTTTCACGCCTTAACACTGTCTGTTTCCCAAATAGCGCCCTATTCCCTATATAGTACACTACTTTTGACTAGGGCCTATAGGCAATACCACATGGTAATATCTCATTATGTAAACACACAGAAGAACCTCTGAGGCCAAGCGCCTTCATCAGTCAGCCATTAGAATTCATCCAGAGGACAAAACAGGGTGTGCTCTTTTAAAAAATCATAACACTCTTACACAATAATGACCTACAGTAGGATTACAACGGGGGATTTTAATAACCTGGACGTCCTGATTCATATTCATGGAGGAGAACATTGCCTGGCGTACAGAAAGAGAAGCAGGGGACAGGAAAAAGAGGACATTTCTGCCTGGTGCACTTCATTGAGAATTCTGCATGCAGGAGTTTAACTCACAATCGAGATGGAGGCCCCAGGCAAAGTCTTAACCTCCAGTTTTCAAAGGAAATAAATAGAAAAACAGGGAACGTTTCCGCCGCATTGGCCGTAATAGATTTTTTTCTCTCTCTCTCTCTCTATAGGCTAACTGCTGGCCACTGTCAGTATGCCTAAGGGATTCAGCCCCAATTAAGTTGCACAGAAGGACAATTGATATTCTATGTCACTTCAGACTACAAAACATTTTGGGAGTAATCAATGACAGTGTCCAAATGAGAGAAAATCTCTTCCTTTTCAACACATGGAATCTGCCATTAAAACTTCTGTTGTTTTAACAAACTCCTCATACTTCCCTTCCCACACTGCAGCTTCCCCAAAGAGCACTAATTAATCAAGTTAATACCTCTGCAATTAATAAGTCACACACCACAGAGGGAGAGAGAGACGAGACGGCTGAAGATTTTTTTCTCCTGTCGGTC